TATTTATTTATTTATTTATTTATTTATTTATTTATTTATTTTTATTTATTATGTGTATGAGTGTATTGCCTGCATGTAAATAAGTACACCCATGACACATAATGGCCACAGAGGTCAGGATAGGGAATTGGATCCCCTAGAACTGGAGTTACAGACATTTAGCCACCATATGGGTCCTGGGAACCAAACGTAGGTCCTTTGTAAGAGTAGCCAGTGATCTTAACCAATGAACCATCTGTCCAGCCCCTACTGCATGTTTTAATACTCTGGCATTGAGCTGTGGTGGCACATGCCTTTAATCCCAGTACTTGGGAGGCAGAGGCAAGTGGATCTCTGAGTTCAAGGCCAGTCTGGTCTACAGAGTGAGTTCTAGACCAACTGGGGCTATAGGGAGACCCTGTTTCAAAAAGATATACACACACAAAAAGATTCTAGTATAACTTTGTGAAGAGGAAAGATGAGTTATGGTAGCAGTCAGGGTAAAGGGCAAGACATGATGATATATAGATATTATACCAATGAAATCCATTATTTTGTATGCTAAGTAAAAAGAATTTTAATTTTTTATTTTTTTAAATTTTATGTGTATGTGTTTATTGCTTGTACGTAGGTAAGTGCACCTGTGTCGTGCAATGCCTGCAGAGGACAGAAGAGGCTGTCGGATCCCCTGGACCTGGAGTTACGGACAGTTGTTAGCTGCCATATGGGTGCTGGGATTCAAACCTGGGTCTTCTGCAAGAACAGTCACTGTTCTTAACCACTAAGCCCCCTAAAAAGAATTTTAAAATTGTAGTGAGATCATTTTAATTGGGTCTCAGGAGAGCAGAAATAAACATGGACTTTTTGCTATATTGAATTCACTGTATATAAAAAGAGCATGTTTGGTAGCCCACAGTGAGTGACACGGTGGGCTCAATAAATGGAGGCTCTGTCAGTCCCTGTTTTATATTCCTCTTCTATCCCTGTATACTCTTGCCCAACCCCTCTGCTGCTGACCTGTGTTCTTTTTGCGTCTTCTGTACATTATCCTAATAGCTTCCTTTCTGATCTGCCTAATCTCAGTAATTACTGTGTTGTATAGTGCTTTCCAGGTGTCCTTTTTTTTTTCTCTCTTGTAATTGCCCTTTTCTCTTTGACCAGAATTTCCCTTTTCTTTGTTTAGAAATCAAAATGAGGTTTTAGGACATTTTCTATATGGCCACAATGCTGTTATTATACCTAAGCAAATGTACAATAATTTCCAAAGATACTCAAATGTTTATATTCATATTTCCCCAGTTGTCTCTCAAATGGTCATAACTTTCCTAGACCTGCTTAGTAATAACTAGAATGCTTTCCTGTCCTTTGACCCAGTTCTGCCCACAGTTCCAAGGCAATCTCTCTTCATGTTAGTGAATATAATTAATTGCATACATAGTGGTTTGTCTTGCTTTGAGGTAAGTTTTTTTTCTGGGGCTGGAGAGATGGCTCAGTGGTTAAGAGCACTGCCTGTTCTTGAGGAACCAAGGTTATTTTTCCTAGCACCCAGCATCCACATGGTGGCTAACAACCACCAGTTCCAGGGCAATCTGACACACTCTTCTGACCTCCTCAGGCATTGCACTACACCAGTACATTTATATGCATGCAGACAATAATACAGCCCGCTCCCCCCCACATAAATAAAAAGTTGCAGAGGACCCGGGGTCGATTCTCAGCATCCACATGGCGTCTACGAACTGTCCTTAAGTCCAGTTCCAAGGGAATCCAAAGCCCTCTTCTGACCTCTGCGGCAATGCACAACACAGGTGCAGTCACATACATGCAGGCAATACACTCATACACATAAAATAAAAATAAGAAATAATAAAAATATTTTTAAAAAAAGTGCCGGGCATGGTGGCGCACACCTTTAATCCCAGCACTTGGAGGCAGAGGCAGGCAGAGCTCTGTGAGTTCAAGGTCACCCTGGTTTACATAGTTCCAGGACAGCTGGGACTACAGAGAGACCCTGTCTCAAAAGACAAAAAAAAGTTAAAAATAAATAAAAAATTTTTTTCTTTTCATGGCCATGGATTAAGCTGGACTTTTCCTGTTATCTACTTGCTGGGTAAAATTGGCTCTGTTTTCATTGAAATTGTGCTAGTGCTTGGGTCAGTGCCAGGCAGAGAGAATGATACTGCAGCTGTTGCACCTTCTTTCTTCCTGCTGATATTCAACATCCTCTCCATATGATGCTTCTCAGTTGTCCTGCTTAGATAGGAAACACCTTCATTTTGATGTTTCTAATTGTTTCCAATAGGGAAAGCGGATAATTCTCCAGACACTTCTACTTATTTTATTTTATTTTTTATTTTTCTTTTTATTTTTTGAGACAGCGTCTCTCTGTAGTCCCACCTGGCTTGGAACTCGCTATGTAGTCCAGACTAGCCTCCATCTCACAGAGATCCACCAGCCTCTGCCTCCCTAGTGCTGGGATTAAAATGGTGTGCCACATCCCTTGAGTCTCTAGATAACGTTTAATGTTTTTGTAAATTGTGAAATCAAAACTGTGACCATTCTGAGGCATTTTCCTCTAAAAAATTTTTTTATTACATTTATTTGGGGGGAGGCATGTGTGCCACAGCCTTTGTTTGGAAATCAGAGGACAACTGCATGAGACTGCTCTCTCCTTCCACTATGTAGGTCCCAGGGATGGAACTCAGATCATCAGGCCTGGCAATAAGTGCCTTTATCCACTGAGCCATTTTGCCGACTCCTTTCCTTCTTTCTTTTCTTTTTTTTTTTACTTATAATTTTAGATGATGCATTTAAAAAAAAAAATTCGGGGGGAGCAGGGTATGTGTGCCACAACCCTGTAGAAGTCAGAGGACAACTTACGGGAGTTGGTTTTCTCCTTCTACCATGTGGGTCCTGGGGATTGAAATTAGGCTTGGTGGGAAGCCTGTTGTGCCATCTCACCTGCCCCTCTTTTTCTTTTAAAAAAGTGATTTTTCTTTTCCTGGCTGTAATTAAAATAATTAAAATCATACCACTCTTCTGCCATTTTTTGTAACGAGATTTCTATTTGTAGGTCTCAGCACACTGCCTTATAAAAGTATTTTTTAATTGTTTTTCTGCCGCATTAACTTAATTTTTTTTGTTGTTGTTGGTACCGAGGATTGAACCTTGGTCCTCATCTGTGCTTGGCAAGTACTCTGTTCCTAAGCTTTATCTCTAGTCCAGAATATTATGCCTTTTAAATTCTTTTTTGCAGTTCTTGGGATTAGTTTAAACCTAGGGCCTTGTACTAGCTAGGTAAGCATTCAGCTATAACACATCTTAATATTTTAAGATTTATAATTATGAAATGGTTACATAAGAAACAACAATAGCTATTTCTAGCTATAAGCAGTTTACATAAATTAATTTGTCACTACTTTTTTGTATCTACAGAAAGAATGGAGGGAAGACAGAAATGGAGAATTTAAAAGGAAAGTTGCCCGCTGTGTTAGAAAAAGCCAAGAGACTGCTTTTGAGTGACATTTATTCAATAGCTAGTAACTTCACTTATTTCAGGGTAAGTTCCTTTTAAAAATCATACCACCCTTCTGCTGTTTTTTCAAAATTATATGATTTAGCTATTTGACTTACTTCATTTTACCTGTCCTATAGCACCGTGCAATAGTTTGCTGCTTATTAAAGCTACAGCATATATAACCTCTTCTTTTTCGCTTTGTGGCATCCTGATTTAAAAAAAAATATTCTATTGTTTTATGTATATTAGTGTATTGCCTGCATATGTGTAAGTGCACCCATTTTGAGTTATGGATGGTTGCGATCCATCATGTGGGTGCTGGGAACCGAACTTCGGTCCTCTGCAAGAGTACCCAGTGCTTTTAACTGCTGTGTCATCTCTCCAGCCCCACATTGTCAAGTTTTTAACGAGATGTTCTCTATTAAAATAATTTTATGAGCCAGGTGTGGTGGAACATGCCTTTAATCCCAGCACTCGGGAGGCAGAGACAGGCAGATGGATATCTGTGAGTTCAAGGCCAGGCTGGTCTACATAGTGAGTTCCAGGACAGCTGGGGCTACCGGGAAACCCTGTCTCAAAAAGACCAAAAAAAAAATAATAATAATTTTACGGTGTTGGGTTTGGTGGCCCATGCCATTAGTCCCAGAAATCAGTCAGCTTTTCTGTGAGTTTGAGAATACCTTGGTCTACATAGTGAAGTTTTCCCCACCCCCACCCCCAAAACAAATGAAAACAAAATGAAAAGAAAAATTATGGCGTTAATGGTAATAGCATCTTTCTTTTCATTGGTAGTAAGTGAAAATTTTTGTTATGCTTTTTTTTTAAATTGATATTTGTTCTAGTTCACTTTCTGTTGCTGTGGTAAACCACTGACCAAAAGCAACTTGAGGGAGGAGTTTGTTTGACTCAGAGATTACAGTCCATCACCAGAAGAAGCCAGGGTAGGAACATGGAAGCAAGAACTGAAGCAGAAACCATGGGGGAACACTGCTTACTGACTAGCTTTTACTCTTTTTGAATTAATTTATTTTTATTTTGTGTTTATTTTGCCTGCTTGTATGTAAGTACACCTGTATGTGCAATGCTCATAGAAATCAGAAGAGGGCATTGGATCCCCTGGGACTAGACTTATGGCCATGTAGGTGCCGGGAACCAAACCCTAGTCCTCTGCAAGAGCAGCCAGTGCCTTTAACCCTCTGAGCCATCTCTGCAGTTCAAGCTACCTTTTTATACAGCCCAGGCCCACCTTCTTAGGATGGTACCACTCAATGTATTGGACCCTCCTATATTAATTAATAATCAAGAAAATGCCCCATAGACATGCCCACAGACCAGTCTAATGAAGGAGATCCTTCGATTGGTACATGCTCTTCTCAGGTCTTATCAGTTTGACAACTAAAGTTAATTGTAGCTAGTGCTGTCAGTCAAATCCAGGGTCTTGCACATGCTGGAGAAGGTACCCTACCACTGAGCTACCACTCCCACCCAAACATGTAGTAAAATTTTGACTAATAAGTCCATTTCACCCTGAATCTACCATCCTATTGCTGGATGCTGACGTATCTTACATCGTCTTGTATTGAATATTATGAATGTAAAGGATAATGTACAAATTTGTTTGTACTCTACAAAAAGAAAGATCCAAGAGGTAGGTAGGTAAACTCAGTTGTTAAGAGTGCTTGCCTTGTGTTCATGAAGCCTTATGTTCAAGCCCCAGTACCAAATAAGACCAACTTTGGTGGTACGCGCTTGTATTTCCAACACTGGAAAAGTGGAGGCAGGAGGACTAGATGTTCAAGGTCATCTGTATGTAGTTATATAACTATATAGCAAATTCAAGAGCAGCGTTGGGTACAGATGACCTTACCTCAAAAATCAAAACAACCAAAGAAAGATATTTCATATTGTATTGCCTACCCTATTTATTTATTATCTATCTATCTATTTATTTATTTGGCCCTTTTGAGTGCTGGGATTAAAGGCGTGCACTACCACGCCCAGCTATTGCCTACCCTATTTTGCATCTTTTGTTTTTCTTTAGGTGGTTTTTTATGTCTTGATAAGGCCCATTAGAAATAGTTTCTTATTTATTACATAACATTTGTCTACAAGTATTATCTTAGATCTAGCAGGGAGTCACAAGGATGGAAGGCCTTTGTGTCATGTAGAAACATAATATAGATGAGTCTATCACTTTTTTTTTTTTGGAAACAAGGTCTCACTGGCTGGCCTACAGCTCGCTTTGCAAACCAGGCTAGTCTCAAACCCACAAACATCCCCTTGTTTCTGTCGCCCAAGTACTGACATTAAAGTCACATGCTACCACAACTGTCTTTTTTATGTGTCTGAGTGTTTTGCCTGCATGTATGTATGTGTACTACTTTCATGCAGTGCCCATGGAGGCTAGAAGAGGGCATTGGATTCCTTGAAACTGGAATTACAGATGTTTTTTTTCCCATCATGTGGGTGTTGGGAACTGACCCCAGATCCTCTGCAATAGCAGTCAGTGCTCTTAACTGCTGAGCCATCTCTATAGCCCCACATTTATTATTTGAATTAAATAACAGAGGTGATTAAAAACTATTAAATTTGTGCCCAGGTGTTGTGGTTTGTGTTTGTATTCCTAGTTCTTGGATTGGTATCCTAAAGCTGGAGGATCTTGAGTTGTGGCTATATAGTTATTTTCTCAGAAATCAGAGAGAGAGAGAGAGAGAGACTGCTGAGCCATCTCTATAGCCCCACATTTATTATTTGAATTAAATAACAGAGGTGATTAAAAACTATTAAATTTGTGCCCAGGTGTTGTGGTTTGTGTTTGTATTCCTAGTTCTTGGATTGGTATCCTAAAGCTGGAGGATCTTGAGTTGTGGCTATATAGTTATTTTCTCAGAAATCAGAGAGAGAGAGAGAGAGAGGAAAAAAAACATCTGTAAGATATTTATTTATTTATTTATTTATTTATTTATTTATTTATTATGTGTGTGTGCTTGCACACATACATGCGTTTGCTCACATGCATGGTTCATGTGTACAGGTATGTGTTTCTTGGCATACATATGGAGGTAGGAATTGGTTCTTTCTACAATGTGGGGATATGTATGTTATATATATATATATATATTTTATGTATATATAGTATATATATAGTCACTTTTTTTTAGTAAAAAGACAGTGTCTCACTGTGTATCCCTCACTGACCTGTAACTTGTTATGTAGACCAAGCCAAGCTGGAACTCACAGAGATCTGCTTGTCTCTGCCTCCCTGGGATTAAAGATGTATGTCACCAAATTTGACATAGTATGTTTTTGGGGCTCTGGGAAGTGAATCTTGGGTCTTGTGGACACTAGGCAAACATACTAACGCCAAGTTACAAAATAAACAAAGAGTAAGAAAATGTTAGGCACGGTGACACATACTTTTAATTCTAGCACTTGGGAAACAGAAACAGGCAGGTGGATTTCTGTGAGTTCAAGACCAGCCTGATCTAATATAGTGAGTTACAGGCCAGCTGGGGATGCAGGGAGACCCTGTCTCAAAAAGACCAAAAAAAAGAAAGAAAGTGAAGTGAACTTTTTAAGTAGCATTATCACTGTTAAGCATCTTCTTGGCTGGATAGTGGCAAATTGATTCCCATAATTTTACATCTCTGTTCCTTTTGGCAAAGATCTCAGTCCTTTCTAATGTTTGATATAAAACACTTATATAAATTTTTTAAAATTTTTGAATATTATAAAATGGAGGGCCCTTGTGAGCTTGATGTTCTTGGATTTCTCTAGTTATCAATAAGTTGGCATATTGTTTCTCACCCCCCCACACACACTTATGCCCATTTTATGGCTCTTAGTAGCTCTAGTTGGCCTCAAACTTATATCAGTCCTCCTGCTTCAGCTTTCCAAGGACTGGGATTACAAAGTCTTGAGTCACTATGCCTGGTGTGCATATCATTTGCATAGGTTAGACCACTGACGCTTCCTTTGTGAAATGGTCTTTCAGATTTTTGTAATATTTCTGTGAGCTGATTTCTATGCTTGTCATTTTACTCTTGTTTAAATATGTTTGGATGAACATGTTCTTACTTTTAATGAAGTTAAAGTTATTATTCCTTTACATTTTCTGTCTTTTAATAAATTTCAAATTCCAGTACTCAGGAGGCTGAGGCAGGAAGATTGCCATGAGTTGAGAGCCAACCGGGGCTATAGACAACACACACAAACAACCCCTTAAAAGAAGAACAGGGCAACAGGGACTGGAGAGATGGCTTAGCAGTTAACAGCACTGGCTGCTCTTGCAGAGGACCTAGGTTGATTCCCAGGTAACATGGTGGGTAACAACCGTCTGTAACTCCAGTTCCAGGCAATCCAGTGCCCTCTTCTGACCACAGGCACTGCATGACATGTGTGCACATACATACATGCAGGCAACATACTCATACACATTAAATAAAAAATAATATTTATTAAAAGAACAGTAAAATGTTTCTTCCTTACTGCCATATAACTACTGTTTTATATTATCTTCCAAAATATTTATAATTTTGCCTTTTATATATCTGTGTTGAATTCCCTGCATTTGACTTTTATGTATGACGTGAGGTAGAGGTTGAACCCCCTCCCCAAAGAGACATACTTTCCTCTCAATGTAACACAGTTGGTTGTGAAGGCTCTTTATTTACCCATCAGTGCCCAATGCCAGTTGTTGCACAAAATCATACCACCAGGTATATTTGGCTCCCTTTGGCTATTTTAGTTTATGGATCATCCTATCTGTGATCACACACTGTCTCTATCCTTGTTATTTTTATGATCCAATTATCAAATGTAAAGATATGTCAGAAATAGTTCTAAAGTTTATCTACTATTAATCCATTTTCCATGTTTAGAACTTTTCATTCCTGAAAAGATTCATATATACTTTTAAAAATGAATTTCTTCCCTTTTACTATTAGGTATATTAGTAACATTACAGCCTTTAAAGTGTTTTTATCATCCTGTTTATATCTCTCAGTGTTTTTGTTCTGTGTTTGTTCATAATTCTGTTCTAA